TTTTTTGGTAAGAAACAAATGTAAAAGCAAATGTGAATATAACATTAGTGTTGACCAATGCTACTTGCCATGATGTCATGTTAACAACAATAAAACGTTTGTTTGTTAGATTTGATGCCTCTTGTTTTTCATAATCTGTTGGTGGCTGTGTTCTTTTGTTTCTGTTTCAAAACTGACACATAGTAGTGTATAATAGTACATTATATCAGCTTTAATCTCACGTTAATGAGCGTTATATATGCTGACAGTTAACTTTAGGGTATTAGGGGGCTGACAGCAGCAGGCATTATTCATCAAAACTGATTGTTTCTGCCCATCGGCCAGTCCGTACTGCTGAGCAGATGGGTCCACTTCCTGTAATATCACGGCTCATTATGAGTGTTACTATATATTTAGGCAGAGGCTAAAAATAGTGTCGCCTGAGATACAGATAAACACCTGCACTGGATTGTCAAACACCTGGCCTCGAGTTGACAAAAAGTCTGTTTTTCATAATATCACTAAGAGACTCACAGAAAACACAAGATAACTGCTCTGAGTGAAATATTTCAAGTGATTTCCTCATATACTCTGTACTGTACTAAGGATAGTTTCACAATTTTCCAAGTTTGTCAAATAACAATTAACAGGTGTCCATATGTACAAGGAAATGTTTTTGTCTAACTCAGACAGCAAGGATGAATGATTACAGCAAACAAAGGCTGTTTCAATGTTTCAAAGGTGACTGAGTTTTGTTAAGACAGACTTTAAAAAACGTGAACCAGTCCATTAATTTTTACGTTAGTCCTCTTCATAAACACATCCTTTTTAAGTGGCTCAGAACATAATCTAAATTCTGTGGGCTAATGAAGACGAAATAAAGCTATAATCAAACAAAAATAAGACATGTACAACATATTGTACAGCATATTTAGAGCTCAGAATTCTTCCTCAGGCAGCATAAAGAGCTCAAATGTTAGATTATTCTTTCATCTTATATTATCTTCTGCTTTTTATCTGTTACTTGGAAATCTAATAAGAAAGTAATGAAAGCATGATGGCTATCAGAAACCTTCTTAATATGGTCAAAAACTCAAAAATCTAAGCCTGATTGTAGTTTGCCAAACTAAACATGGAAATGGAAATTACAAGTGAATTAATGCTTTAAAAGACCCAACATGGAAGTCCAGGATATCAAAGTTTTCCACCAGCACATAAATGTGGCATTAGTTGCTAAATATTTTCACTAAACAGTGTTTTTTATTTATTCAAGTCATCATGAAAAACATATTTTTTATCCAGTATAAAATTTGGGGTGTGATGTGTGTATTGAAGTGTGACTCAGTAACTAAGTGTGTGTAAAGTACAATATGTATCTGTTTTTCCCGGCTCTTATCAGAGGAATGGAGGGTCTCAGGTCCACACTGAAGGCAACCCTCAGCTGAAGGAATTCCTGGCAGATAAAACTCGGGCCCTGACGTCTGGCTCTGAAAACACTTTCCCGTCCAGCGCTGTTCCACAGGGCCAGGAAGGGGCGAAAGGTGACGGAGATGGGCATTTTTAAGCTCATTATCTTCCCATAGTTTATGCGAGGTGACAACAGCTGTCATGTAAGCTATAGAAAACATGAACAAACATAGTCAGTCTCATTAGGAAATGCCAACACTTTTTATTAAAATACACAAGCATGACTTTGAAATGAATTCTGGTGATGTTTTTCATGGGTGCAGTAAATAACTTCAGCATAGTGGAAAACACATACCACCACCTTTATGATGCTTGCGAATATTTAAATGTTTTAAATCTTCATCTGATCTACACCTGCATCAAAATACATTAGAGCTAAAATGATTAATGATTAACTGTTTGATAGAAAATTATTCTGTTTTGGATAATCCATCCAAATTGTTTAAGTACACATTACTTAGGTCAAGCCTCTTAATTGTTAGGATATCACTTTAGGCTTAAGGAAATTGTGAAATTTTTCACTATTTTCTTATATTTTATGGATCAAATGATTCACTTTAACAAGATGAATTAATGATGAAAATAACTGTTACCTTTTTTTTTATTAGCAAATTAAATGATTACTTATCTGGTCATTCCCTGTCATCTTAATATATTTTAATAAATTACTGTAGACTCTAGAGAAGGGAACTCTTCTTGCCTTCTGCTCTTAAAACCAAAATCAAGTCAATTATGAAAACAAACAAATTGAGACACCCAAATCTTTCTATTTGGACAGTGTTTGACTCTCATGTCAAAGAGTGCATAAAGGTAACAGTGTATGGTTGCAGTGCATATATATATATATATGGACACTTTTGGTACGAAAACACCAAAAACTTTGAGGAAATAATCAGTGGGATGCTGCAGCCGATCCTACAAACTCTACCAGCCAGTGTTGCAGCCAGTGCTCTTTGTCTTTCGGGGCTCTTTGTCTTTCGCTGCCCTCTTTAGTGCACATTCCTGTCTTACTTGGCTCTCGCACCAAGGGGTCATGGGAAGGCATGTGTGCTCCTTGGTTAATTTTAGCCCTCATTTCATCAAGGCCATTGAGACAAAACACAGAGCAACCACCTCAGCCCGTCTGCCAGACCGTGAAGCCATGCACATACCCTCTGATCTCCAGACACCCTTTACAGACTGAACCACTGTATCAGTGAACACATGCTCAGGCCAACCTGTCTCTGGACAAAGTGGAGTGATGACTTCTTAAATGTATAGATCCTCAACCCACCAGCTTAGAAGGTCTCTAGTTTAATGATTTAAACAACAATAGGTATAAGCTAGACTCTGTGCAGAGTCCACTAATATAAAAAGGCACAAAGGCAAAGAAAATCAATACAGGTGTCAGTCACTGGTGTTTGAGACATGCTGAGAAAAAGGAAGTATGGTAGGATCCACAATGAGACTGCCTTTTTAATACCATCAGCGATAAACATCACTCAGACTAGTTGGTCAATGAAACTCTTCTGTGGCGGCTGTTCCCAAACAAAACTAACAATGTGCAAGACGCCACTTGGAGCAACTCCATGTGACCTTTAAGTAGGTATACAATTGAAACTGTGGCCTGAACGTCTGCTCTGTCTCTGAAATACGCATCTTGTGCCAGCTACCTGTCTCCTCTTTGGGTTCTGGGAGAAGATTTAGTCCTTTAAGTCATGAGACTCAAGTGCAGGTGAAGGTCCTTTTTGTTTTTCATAAGGCGGTACTACAATAAAATCAAGACATCCATGGCTGTGACAACCCGAGCGCTGTCTCCTCACCAGACTTTACAACCATGTTTCATTTTAGATTTTTCTGCTTTAGTGGCACTTATCCAGCTCATCAGTGTGCTGTGATTCATAATGTTGGCTCTCTATGAATTTGCAAGTCCGGTGCTTCCTTTGTGAAGTCATTGTGAAGAACAGAGAAAGAAGCTACTTCAACATACAAACCCAAACTATTTTTCTGACAGATTTAAAGGAGACATCACACCACACATACACACACACACAACCATACAATACAAGAGGGCCATTTGAACCTTATCATGACTATAGATTAATATTATACTCCAGGAGTGTGATGGCAGCCACAGAAAGAGAGGATGCTGCTATTTTGAGCTCAGAGACTTGTGATGTCGAGTGAAGCAGAGTAGACTGATGAGGGTCTGCACTCTGTCAGTGTCAGACTGCTGTCAAGTCATCCACAACAGAGTAAACATAACTTCAGGGCATGGATTTCAAAATAAAACATCAAGTTATTAAGAAATACTATGACTGTTTTCGAGTTGTGCAAGTCTCTAAATCCCAAAATACGATTTTATGTATTATTAAGTGTATTATAGCCCACCATCACACATTCTTAAATGTCATAAGCCTTGAGGACATTTGGGATTTTGAGGACATTTGAGGACACTATTACAACAATTAGACAGTCTTTTAATATTTAATAAATTTAAATAATAATTAATAGCTACGTATTACGATACAATGACCAAAATACTTTTAAATCTAAATATATTCTGAAATCTGGGTTTGTAGCAGTAATGTCTAGCCTTGTGATTTAAAAAAAAAGGACTTAAGAACACTGTTCTAAATCATAACAAATAAAAAATACATGTGCATTACTAAGTTTTGGGTTTGGGAGTGCTGTAACAAATTTTCGGGTTACTATAAATTAGTAATTTTCGGCCCACTACGACCATGCTGCAGGACATGAGCTTACTATGGGCTACATAAAGAAATATCCCCTCATAAAGCTTGTCCTAGCCACCTGGAAGAGATCTTAAAGCAAACTTCATCTTGACTTATGCTTATTCCTGCAGGCTGTGAGGCTATCCGGAGAAATAAAGAAAATCATTTGGCTTTATTTTGAAAGAATCTAAATTTACTTCCGTGCCTGTCCTGGTGGACTTGACTCTCCTGATAGCCGCTCTTGTAGAGCCAGGTTTGGGGGGGTAGGGGTGGGGGGAGCAGCCGGTGGAGGGGACAGTGGATCCACGGATCCTGGCTAATAGACGCTTCTTCTCCGCCGTCCATATCGTGCAGTGTCCGAACACGAGGGAGAAAGCTGCGATTATAAACACAAACTGAGAGCATTTGTCCCCCAACTTCATCTTCCTCACTGAGTGCAGGACACCAAGTCGTGGTGGAAACCGGTGCATGCACTGTTTGTTTTTTCTTTTTTAAAAGGTAAAGTGCTGTTGCATATGGGCTTTGCAGTGTCCTAGTTTACTTTGTTTTGTTTTTTTTTCGTCAAATTATCAACGTGCAACATCCTGCATCTGCTATCGCCCTGGCAACCAGACCTCCTCTCCATCATTCTCCAGCGCTTCATCCCTCACCATCAGCGCAGCCTCGGAGAAGGAAAAACCCTGTTTTTGACGCTCATCCACCAAGTGGAAGTAGATTGTTTTCTTCAAGGACGGCACTTCAGATCCTTCTCTATTATATTTATTTATTTATTTATTTATTTTATTATTTTTTAACTACTAAGGTTCATGTGTCGGAGAAGTCTTTTCTCTCAGCATCAAAATGCCTGTGAGACGCGGTCATGTTGCGCTCCAGAACACCTACCTGGACACTATCATCAGGAAATTCGACGAGCAAAGTAAGTGCACATGAAATGAGTTAAGTTGTGACCATGACCATGTGATGGTGTTACAGCGCGGACACACAGTTGACCTCCAGGCGGTGATTATAAAACACCCACCATGATAACGACAATAACAAAAAACAAAACCTTAACACCTTCACAATGTGCATATTTTTGAACTTTTAGACATAGACTTGGATCATTCTGAAAATGTTTAATGATAGAATATGATTTTATTAAACCTGATAAAGGTGGTAGCCCTTAAAAAAGCTAATAAATAGAGTGTGTAAAAAGAGTTCAGTTCAGTTTGCACTTCATTACCTACATCCTGTGTTCAAAGGGGGGTATAATAATGTCCTTAGTCCTTTAAAAAGGATTTCTGACAGCTTGTGGTTATCATCAGAAGGAGGAAACAATACATAGACATTTATTTAAGGATTAATAATATAGACCATTGTTGCCAATGGAACAGGGTTGGATGTACTTTTTAGGCTACAGTAATAAGAATAATGTGTGTAAAACCTCTTTTTTTTATGTTTATGTTGATGTTAATTATTCAATCTTAATGTAGTCACTCATTATGTTAGTTATAAAAACACTATAGCCCCAGCCTCCTGTATCCTTTATTTTTCACACCTGATCGGTCGGCTGTATTGTGTTCAAATGAATGTCGACTCTTTCTTTGTTCTGAACAGGTGTCAGACTGACAGGCTTTTCATGTTACATTGAAATATCTTATCTAATTTGTATCGGTGACGTTGACAGCTCCCCCGCTGCTCCTTTTATGTTTTAGGGTTATTGCACCTGCTGTGTTTGTTTGTGAGTGCTCACCTGATGTCTTACATTATGTTCCATTAGCTCACATGTTCCACTAGCTGCAAAGAGAGACCACACATTTAGAGATAAAAAACCTCTGCAACCACTAAGGCTTGAGATAAAACATGGATGTTGCATTTGATGACCTCTTGTGTTTATCTCCATTTTGAACTCACATTTTGTACATCATACTTTAGCACATTAGTCATTTATCTTTCTTAATATTGCCTAATTTAATATTTACAAATGCCACAAAATAGTCTGCTTTTCAGTCTACCTTTCAAGGTCAGTTTTATCCCTTTTCTCTTTGGCGCCTTCTTGCATTTCACTATGGACCACTCACAGCGCGTTAGATGTGTAACACTGAAAATACCCCTGACGTCCTGATCAGACACTGACCAAACAAGGAGAAATACTTGATTGTTGACTACTCTCAATGAAGTTTTTGGTCTGATTAGATCTGGGGCCCCAGTCATGCTTGAATTCATGGAGCTCCTTTTAAAAAACTGTATACCTCTATGTAATACCTCTACTGTATGTCTGTGTGTGTATGTGTGCACGCGCATCCACGTGTAAGTGCACGGCCAGGTGAGTGCACGTGACACAGCGGTGCTGCTTAGCAACGGTGTGACGATCAGTGTTTCCGCTTTGAGCCCCAGATAATGACTTTGACAGGATGTGCTTTCCACCAGAGGAGCTCACCCATTTACTTGAAAGAGAGGGACTGAGAGAAGTGTCCCCTCCCCTCATCTGTGGGGGCAGAAAGTAGGGAGAGCTGTTTAACCCAGTTCCACCACAGGATAATAAAAGGGCCAGTCAGATGTTGCAGAGGATATGTATGTACTTTTCATTCAGCTCATTGAACTTCTCCATTAGCAGCCTTCGAACAAAACTGTCCTAATTCACTTTCATGGTGTGGACAAAGTTTTCGCCAACACGTGCATTGCATACCGTCTGTTGCTGGCGCCACGTACATTACAATCATCAATAACAGGAACTGGATGGTATATGAGCTCTGAATTACTATTAAGGATTTTTTTCTGAGTGCAGAGTGACTCAGAGTTACTCGGCATCAAAAGGTTTTTACCATTATTGTGGTAAAGTTTCCACCTGATACTGTACAGTCGGCGGTGTTTCCCATAGGATGAAAGTTTATTGGTGGTGGTCGACCCCCTTAGGAGGGTAATGTGTTAGTGGAAAGACACATGTTCACTGCTAAACAGCATTGCATTGAGCTAATTGAGTATTTTCCCCAACTCATAGTTTCCATGCAGCATGCAAGTTATTTAATGACAAATAACTAATATGCACATGTTAAAAAAAAAACACTTTGGGCTGGGGCAAATATATTTTTGTGGGCTCAAATAAATTTCATATATGTAGAAACAATACTATAACATTAAATAACATTTAAAGATCATATTTAAATAATTTGCTGCATGCATTAAAACAACCTCCAAAACCATGTAAAGAAAACAGTGACTATACACTGTGTGCAGTAGAAAGAGAGATGAGAAAATATAAACAGAATCAGAATAAATAGACACTAAACATAATCTAGCAGTAAACAAATATGGTAAAAATAATTCGTAAACATGGATAGTAATTACAATTTAATTAAAAAGTGTGGAAAATTCCCACAAGTAACGTGAGAGCAGGTGTGATGCCACAGAGGCCCTTGTGTTAAAGTGCCCACCTGCTCCTCTTCAGACCCTTGGGAGAAATTGTGACACTAAAAGCATTAGCACCATGGAAAGGTGGACTTTATTAGCTCCACTTCAACTGATTGTGTAGAGCGTACACAACTATGCAGAACACTTAAAAGTGTTTGATTACATTAAACTGTGTTAGTGAAATTTTTATTGCAAATACTTTTTTTGATCAATGACTATATCTAATTGACTTTAATTAGGCACATGCAATGCCCTATGAAGCCATAAAGCAGTACATATTCAGTCAAAACTGAATTAAATCCAGTTAAATCTAACTGTTAATAACATAAAATATTATTATGCCATTGAAATATGTAAATTCAGATAGAACAGCGTGTAACAGTAAAGTTTGAAAAGCTACAAAACAGTTAAAGAGTTAAAGCTAGCTGGTGTGCTAGCCTTAGCTAAAGGTAAATGTCCCTACTGTTTTTGACATGTTTCCTGTTACTGAAAAATCTATTCTGATTATCCAAAATCTTAGTAATTTCATTTACTAGCTAGCTTAGCATTATATATATCATAAAAATTAGCTGGTACTGCCATCTCAGTCCCTCACACCTAACGTTAAAGGAAGGTTTTAATCTTATTGTGAAATGATATGCAATGGCACTACATTTATAATTTATCCAGTTATTACAGAGTTTGGCTAACTGGCCTCTAAACTTTAAAAACCTTTTTTTTAGTTACTGGCTGCTCTTTCTTTGTAGGATACTTTGTACTTTGTAGCTTTACAACAATGTTTATTATAAATGCCTTTTGCTGAAGCACATATAAGCAGAGTGTAAACCACATTGCTTAACCATAGTTTGAGTAGTTTGGGAGATTTTCTGTAAAAATGCGTCATTCATTCCTCACAGTGTTAACACACATGCCTTATCTGAATTGGGAGTATAAAGATAGACGGTGTTATATGCTGTGCAGTGTGGATTGGTTATGTTAACCAAAAAAAATATCTTGGTTAAGGTATGTTTAAAAATTGTTACATATACTATAATATGTTAAACACCTACAGATAAAGCAAATGTTTTAACAACTTTACTTGCTTTGTTACTTCAACCCATTGTACATATTTCCTCTTTTAAACTGGATGTGACACCCCATCTTGTGCCCTTCAGATCGCAAGTTTCTGATCGCAAACGCCCAGATGAAGAACTGTGGCATCATCTACTGCAACGAAGGCTTCTGCCAGTTGTTTGGGTTTGCCAGGGCGGAGATCATGCAGCAGCCCTGTACCTGCCAGTTCCTGGTGGGTCCTGGTACCATGAAGAGTGCCCTGGCCCAGCTGGCACAGGCCCTGCTCGGCTCTGAGGAGCGCAAGGTTGAGATCCTCTACTACGCTAAGGAAGGTAAGACAGGAAGAAAGGACAGGAAATGTGAAGCACAAGGAGATGGAAGGGTATTAAAAAAACACTGTGAGCCTGTTTGCAACCTCAGATCCCTGGGCAGGAGCCTTCTGGCCATCACAGAATCTGGCCTGTTGGAGAGCTTGATTGTTATGAAAACACAGTCACCATTATCATCCATATGTTCCACTGTTTTGTCATCCATTTTCTGACAAGAAACCTGCATGAACAGACCCTAATCCCTCCTATTACCCTAACCATCATTGAGCCATTTGCTCATATTTTGGACATTTTAAAACATCTTCATTTCTGGAATATGGATGGGGAAACTAATGTTTTAGGTTTTAGATACACAAATTGAAGAAATTACAACTTGTTTTAGGATAATATGTTAACACTGAAGGACAAATACTGTTTAGAAATGTAGTTTTCTTGGTTTAAAATGTATGTACATAAATATATACAGTGGTGATCTCAGTGGTAAACTCAGTTCACAGTAGATTAATACAAAGCTCAACTAAAATAGTCCCAAAAGTAGCCTATATCTGGTTACTGTGAGTTGCTAACATACTGATATTAACCATGTTCTATGAGGAAGAAAAAAGATCTTGATTTTTGGTACCACCGTGTGTGGCAACCATTCACAGTCACCTGCCATGTTTTTTTGCAGACCACTACAGACTCTGATCTTGAAAATCAGCCATCATGGCCAGATCAGGGTTTTTATAATCAGGCTTTAAAATCACATTGCATTCTCTGCACTGAGTCACCGCCACAGCGAGACTAGGCAGGCAGACCCAGCACAGTATTCTCAATCTCTTCTCAAGAGCTGTTCCAATTAATGGACACTTGTTGTGCCTCTTCTTCTCTTCTTCCATATTGGTTTGTTGTCATAACCTTAATCCCTTCTCCCCTTCTCTCCTCAGCAATCTTTCCTGTGCTTCAACCTCAACCTGTATTTATTTTATCTCTACTGCAAAACATTGATTTTTAGAAAAGTTGTGTGCAAGTATAATTAGCACAGATGGAGAAGCAAGAACGAATGAAAACAGTAGAGATTTAGAGATGGTGATATTAAAAATTGTAGAGAGAGAACTGAGTGACAGAACAGAAAGAAATAATAAACCGAGAGACATTTAAACCTTTGATCTGCGCTTCACACGGTGGCATTTTCATGAATGTTCTCTCCTCTCAAAGCTTAATATTGCCTCACTGGTCTCTGTCACCTGCAACATTTTAATTCCTTCTTTACCTTTAACAGTTACTTGCAACAGAGTCACTGAGGCAGAAACTCATAATGGAGGCAAGCACGGAAAAAAAAAAACGTTCGCCATAAACACACATAGATTTACTGTCTACTTACATACACAGACATACACATACACACACGTGTCTTTTGTTACTTTGGCCATTTGGGCATGGGGCGTGCAGTCTAGAGTGCTGTTGTCATGGAAATGTGATCAGCATGCCAGCTCAAATCCACTAAGCATCTATTTGTTTTGTCTCCTGCTTCCTACTGTGCTCCCCGACTGAACAGGCAGAAAATTTTGCGAACAAGTGGATACAGTGTGATTCAGAACAAGTCGCCTGCTCTCACAGGCTGATTTTTTTTTCTCCCCTCCTTTTATCTCCAAACTAAATTCCTGTCAGAGTTTTCTCAGAGTGGATATGTGAAAGGGACTTAATGCAGGCTTTCAGTGTGTGTGGATATATGGTCCTCTGTATATGTGTGTGTGTGTGTGTGTGTGTGTGTGTGCGCGATCTGCTCTCTCCCTCATTTCTATTTTTAGACCACACTGATTGCAGAGTGAAGTTAGACGTGACGGAAGTATTGCTCATTTAGCCTTTTTTAGCTTTCAGTGTTTGAGCTCCCACTGCCCCTTCCAATTCTCTCCCTCTCCCTCTTTATTCCTTTCTCTCCCTTCCTGTGATTTCCTCCCTGATGACCTTCCACAAAGGCACAGCCTCATAAAATAGATCAGATGGCAGTGAGATTTGTTGTGTGTTGGGGGTATAGCTCAGTGGTAGAGCACTTGACTGCAGATCAAGAGCTCCCCAGTTCAAATCCGGGTGCCCCCTGTTTTCCTGTTAATGTCTGCCTTTATCTCTCTCTCTCTTTATACATCTAAAGGAACCTGCAGACCGTGCCTGGTGGACATTGTTCCCGTAAAAAACGAGGAAGGCATTGTCATCATGTTCATCCTCGACTTCCAGGAGCTGATTGATCGTTCTCTCAAGAAGTCGGGCCTCAGGCAGAGAGTCGCCCAAGGATGGATTTACTGTAAAGCCACTTGTCTTATACCTTATTTGCATGATATACATTCAAGTTAAGGGAAGCTGAGTCTTTTTCTGTTGTAGACTGAGACATGTGATTTTTGCAACTTGAATGAATTAGTTTATGCTCATATGTAACTATTTTGCTTCAGTGATTTACATTAATTGTTTACAGATACATGTACAAAAAGAACACCCTGTGTGGTGCAGTAAAAATAAGTATCTATTTATAGTAATATAAAATATGTGCATATGAACATAATTTGTAGTAGATTTGTAGTAGTTTTGAGCTTTGATAACACAGAGTTTTCCCCTCAGGTCAGAATCGCCGGTTGAAGATGAGGCTGCCGGTGCTGCGGTCCATGCGACGAGCTTCACTTTCCAAAGATCAGTTTGAAGGAGTGGTAGTGGACTACTTGCAGGTGAGCTGATGTACAGTACACACACTCACCACACTCACAAGAGATAATGCAGTGCAGTATGCTTACGTATATATGCACGCCTTGTATTCAGCTGTAGCACGTACTGGCATGTGATAGTAGCCTGAATCGATACGAAAAATAATACACACACTGTATGCATGGCCTTTTCAATGACTGATTTTTTCAATTCTCTACAGTGATATGACTGTTCTTCACACATGAATAGCACAAAACAAATTATTTAGAGACAAAAGGCTAAAACATTTTCACACAGAATTGGCGATGCCTGTGGCTCAGGAGGTAGAGCAGGCTGTCTGTTATTCCCAAAATCAGTGGTTTGATCTCCAGCTACTCCCACCACATGTCAAAGTGTCATGGAGCAAGATACTGAACCTTAAATTCATCCAGATGCTCTGCATTGGCATGAATGTGGAGTGTAGTGTACAGTGCTTTGAGTGGTTGGAAGACTATACAAGTACCAATATTCCTTGGTCCAAAAAAAACAAAGGGAAGAATGAAGGGAAATTATCTTGTTTGAGTTCATCTTTCTTTTCTCAGAGCCTCACTCACTTCTGTTTATGCTTCTTTTGTGTTTTGATGAATCACTTTTTGTGAGAAACTATTTCCTGACAGCATCCATATCTGACACTGGAGCTGTATTGGGCCAAGTCACCCAAGTTTACGTGTTGGGACTCTTTAGTAGCAATAAAACATTCCTTTTCTATTAGGTGTACTATTGTGATGTAGGCTATGAGTTTGGTTACCCTGATTTGGATGACACAACAAATGGCTGACAGAGAATATTTTCCTAAAAAGTAATTATAGTAATTTTTTATAATTTTTGTACACCTGACACATGGCCACCTGCTTTCTGTCTTTGAAAGCCAAACAGCGAGGAAGTTCCTCTCAAAGAATTTCGGATCCCGTCCAAAGAGAGCTGCATGCAGTCTGAGACGGAAGCTTTGATAGAACAGGACCTGGATCCTCCCTCTCCTGCAGCCCAGTCCTCCACCAAGCAGCGCTCCCTGCTGACAGACCGGCTGGACCCTGGCCTCGCCTTCCCCAGGGGGACGTTACCACGGAGCTGTTCTCGGGACAGTGTCCGCAGCCTCCGACGCGCCTCGTCACTGGACGACATTGATGGCATGAGGGCAGAATGGAACAGTCGACCTGGAGACCCGCGAACCAATAGCAGTGAGTGAGATCCTGCTAGCATCTCAGGATTTTTTTTAATTTGATTACATGATTAGACAACAATTGATACAATAATTTTTTTTTTTTCTATTTTAAATGATGTGTAATCTTGCAAATAATACAAACATAATTCATAATTTATCTTGTCTGAATACACATCAGGTCTTGTCAATGCGGTTAAAAATACAGAAATACACAATACAATACTGTAAGAAGGAAAATTATCTCATGATTATTGCATGATCTTTGAAAATCATTGTGTTTTGGTTCATAAGGGTTTTGCGTGCAAACGCTATTTAACAATATTTTTTTACCTAAAGGTTTGCCAGTATTGAACGATGAAGGCAGAAAAAGGGGTTTCTTACACCAAGTCCATTATATTCTATATAAGGACACCTCAGAGAACATTACCATTATTATATGAACACCGCTTACAAAAAAAATGGGTTGGTTGGGTTGTATTCAAAAATGTGTAATTTATTAGGTTTTTTGTGGTGAGTAACCTATGCCAGGTCAGTTTCAAAGTCAGTTTATGTTACAGCTGTCATGGAGGGGATGTTGTGGTTCATGGTTGGAATCACTCATCATTTTCATTATATCTATCTATATTGTTTCTCACCACGATTCACTGAAAGAAACTTTTCTGTAAGACAAAAGAAAAGACAAAAATAGAGAGAGAGAGAGAGAAGAGAGAGGAGAGGAGAGAGGAGGAGATCAAATAGCACGTGCGGTTGCCTGATGGTTGTTCCAAGCAGAGCACACTAATCCAATCCCTCTGGCCAGGTGTGTGCGTGTGTGCGAGGGTTTGTGGTCCATTTGTGTTAAAATTGCACATCACTGCACATATGTCCCCCCTTCTTCTCTCAGGGGAAATATTTTGTGAGGAAATTATGTATTTTTTTTGCAGAATACAGGTTCCAATCATACTCCGGACTCCCACTCTGTCTGTCACATTTTCTTTCATTTTCACCATATTTGTTTGTCCATCTGTGTCTTTGAGGATGAGGAGAAATGCAGTCTGTCCTAATTCCCTTGTTGAATAGTGGATGAACAAAAACATTTTAACTGCAGTGTTTATTTAAAATTTGGTCATGATTTGACCTTCAATACTGAACATTTTTACATACAATGATTTAAAAGTACATCATAGCGAATTTATAATATATTATATTATTTATAATAAAAATCATATTATCATTCAAATACATTGTCAGATATTCATTTTTATTCTCTTCTTGTTCCCTGGTTCCATATCTCACACTGCCATTTATAATTTTCCTGTTGCTGCTCTCTGCTGCAGATCTGAAGCCGAGCGCTCTGAACTCCACGTCGGACTCAGACCTGATGAGACTCAGGACCATCGGCCGCATCCCTCAGGTTACTCTCACCTTCAGCTCGGACCGGATGAGACCTCCTTCACCCACCGAGATTGAAATCATCGCACCCAGCAAGATTAAAGACCGAACTCAGAACGTCACAGAGAAGGTCACTCAGGTCACACAGGTAACACAAGTCCTTTTCCATCTCAGGAAAAAAAAAAGAGAGAGATGATAAATCCCATCTTTCTTTCTCTCTGCGCACTTTGTTCTTGTTCAAGCTTTCTGTGGTTGTAGGTACTGGGCTCCTTTAAACAACTTGTCTGTGAGCTTGCTTGTGAGCTGAATGACTGAAATGACTTTTTCATCAAAAAAAATGATTTTCAATGTTCTTGTTATCATTTTGCTTAATGAAAAGTTAGTAATGGGTGTGCCTGCACCTATAGAACGACCTAACATGACTTGTTTTTCTTTATTTTTCTGAGATAATTTCAAGTCATAATTAAGATTTTGTGGCAACAAGTTGCACAATAGTTCTGTCTGCTAGTTGTTTTTGTCACAGTACTCATTGGAAAAAGAATTAATATAAATCATATCATGTTACTGTCGTCCTGTTTGATAAGTTCCGGTTGTTGGCCAATATTGTAGTTGATCTCCCCGCACTGTCACATTTAGTCAATGTCTCCGCTCATAATATAGTTCAGACAAAGATGTCTGTTTATTGCTTCTGGCTCACTGAAGATACTAAAAGACATCTGCAGTCACAGGGTGAAAGTGTGAAAGAATAATCTCACCTGAGGTGTGACATCTATGGTACTAGCAGCAGAACAAACTCATCAGCCACCTGTTATCGAGCCACAGTGTCTTTGTGCTCACTTTGGTACACTGCTTCCTCACACACAGCAGTAGAATAATCATCACAATGGAAAACTACTCCCTTACATGTGAAGTATTACCAGTGAAATGATTAAAAATAATTGGAGATAATGAAATAATGAAGAGTAGTTCCTGCTTTCAGAACAATTAAAGCATTGCATACTCCTCTGTACTGTTCTAAAACCCCTTATTGATAACCAGTTATGTCTGAAAGACATTTTGACATAGAGGTGAAGGACACTCGTTTGTCTATATGCCTAAAAATATAATGTAATATTATTATTAATGTATATACTTTAATATAAATATTAAAAAAAGATTTTTTGTGTGTTTTTTTTAAGTTTTATGATCTTATCCTAAGCTGAATATTAAATAATCTACAGATTCTGCAAAGCAACTTTAAGTTAATTGAAACTGCTGTGTTGTGTTGGAATATTAAATGCCGAATACTAACAATATTTAGCTCAGAAATGTAGTGTCTCAGAAACTAGTAAAAATTGTTAACAAAGGTAGTAGCACCTTAAATTTGTAAGTAATGTAAAAGTGTGGTACGTGAATGCATTTATTTACATCACACACTCACAACCAAAATGTCATTTAATTGCCTGTTTGGTTAAGGATAGAGCTGGCAGTCGGATACTGTGGGGCTCCCTCAGTGCATCACTTTAACCCAGTTTATCTGAGGGGCTTCCACAAAGGTCAGTTGACTCTCTTTCCAACCTGTCTGAGCCAAAGTGGTAGTGTTTTTGGCCAGGTTTTTTCTGTTTGCTTGGCTATTGGTTTTGTTACTTGTAAAAAAACAGATTTCAGTAATCTGGATACAATAGTACCATAATGAGGACAGTTGTAACGCTCATTTTGGTTCTTAACTTATAGGGCATTGTACAAGAAGCAGGTTGTCTAAATAATTTGGAGGACTGTGCTCATTGAAATGGACTGAATTAAATAATTGGTCCAGGTTTTTATTCAGCAAGGTATTCAATTGATTCTTCAAAGAATCCCTTGAACTCTGTGGTGTAGAGCAATCAAGTTATTTATTGAATGACGAATTGATAGACCATGCAATCTTCCCTAGATTGTGTAGCTAATATGTGTGTCTTTCTATGTTTTTGAGATTTGTTACAGTTTTCCTATAATTGTTTGGTTGATTTGACATAAGCTGTCACAACATTTGAACACAATGTGCAAATGCTGCCAAATTCAGATGACATTCCCAGCTTTCCTGCTAAATTTGCAGGAACTTGGAACACTTAACAAATAGATACAGAATTCAGTCCGCCTGCAGGCATTTACATTCATCATTCATCATTGTAGACTCTCTAGTAAGTACAGAGAGGATTTAGGTATTCTCCAGAAGTAACGGCCAATATCAGACATTCACTACTGCATGTATATTTTAGAGGAAGTCCGATACATTTTCTATTATTCGATTATAGATCGTAAATGTGCAGAATTGTGGTAGCGGTTTTATAAGTGCTTTTATTGCTGTGCTTAACAGCCTGCATCAGCATCTACAGCCAGCATCTCTTGTCTTTCGTCTAGTTTCACATTCTGCTTTTAAGTGTTTTTATCCTTTTAATCGGGCAGTATCATTAACCGATCTTGCAGTCCTTTACGCTCTTTTAACAAACCATCTACATTCCTGCACAACCTCAGTCTTCTCATTTGATTGCGTGCAACATACCACAGAACACCCCATTTGCCTGCAGGACACTGACTTTGAGTCTGTGACCTCAATTGGACAGCTGCCATTACTAAAAGAATAGCCTGGGTCAATCTCCTTACCTACCGTGATGATCCTGTCTCTCCGGTTGTCCGACTGAAGACGCCTCCTGAAGAATGGCTACGACATCAGATATTACATAATACAAAACATAATAACTGAGATGAAATCGATTGAACTCCTAATCATGGATCTTATCCAGTGACTAACAGAGCTCGCTTCCCGTTTAGCCTGGCTAGAAAAGCCAGGCTGTCAGTCTCCGATGGTCTTGGCAACCACACCACAAGGGGGTGGCACTAACCCCACTCCCATCTGTTCCTCCTGCAACTGTGGTGAAAGGCAAGAGAAAGTTTTCCCTTACGCTCTACGACCCCGACAGAGAAGATGATTCCTCCTCAGTTCAGCCACTTTGCTCCTCTGGCTGAGGTCACAGATGACGCAGTTTCCCCAGTTTCTCATGCTCTTGAAACCGATAGGATTATAACATCAATCAACAAGTGCTACCCGCCCAGCACTCCGAGCTCCTGGGATAGCAAATCAGCCTCAGTATCCGAATGTAGCATTAATCCCAGAGATAATTCCATTTGGGCACTCAGTAACACTGCTGCTACATCCAACGCCTCCCTTTCTGCACCGCTGTCAGACCCCAAAGCCACCACCTAAAGCAATGCAAATTCTCTTGTATTACTAGCACAGTGATTGCTAATCATCAGCTTGCACCTAAACTCTCAGTGTGCATTGGCACCAGAAAATAAACTCAGATTTGTGGATCTACTTGCTGCCTTTCTGGTGGCAAACTAGCAGATTTTATTGAACTCTTACCAAAGCTGATTGAACTTCACCCTTTGATCCACACAGTCATAGAGAATGCAGTGCGACATGGGATCATTGGTGTTAACTATTGACAGCCTGGATTGACGCTGTCTTCTACCTGGTCCTATTCCCACTGTGTCAACCAGATCTGAACGTTTCAGGTGTCTTTTTAGCCTCCATAAGTGGTTGCAAAACATCTGTACACCAACAGGTTATGTATTTATCAGCCATTCTTTTTGGACTGATTTATGTAAAACTGATGGCCTACACAAAGTGGAAAGGGTCCAAGAAACTGAACTCAAATTTGATCAACTATATAGCTTTTAAATCCTTCTGACTCACATCTGAGCAAAACTCTAACAACCTCATCTTGATTCAAAACACACCCACTCTTGATAGAGAGGGTCCTGCTGGCTCATGGCCTGTTTTTATTCATTCAAATGATAAAACTTCTAATGATAGCTGCCAGGTCCCATAAAATCCCCATAGTATTGATAACCATTTACTCCACAGCTATCATGTCACACTCATAATCAGTGATGACCGGGATGTTTAAAAAGCAAAAGCAAATCTACATCAAGCCCTCCTTTTTTTCATCCCCTGCCGCTTTGCAAAATGTTAAGCTTTTAAAGACTTACTTTATTAACATTAAATCACTAAAACCTGGCTGATTTTGAACCAAATGATTTTGTAAGCCTAAATGAGGCATCACCTCTAAATTACACTACACAAGTGTCATGTGAATCAAAAAGCGGTGGGGGCATAGCTGCTATATATGACTCCAGATTGTTAATGATAAACCTAATCAACACCTCTGTCATCTGAGGTACTTCTTATGCAAAGTTGCAATCATAACAATTTTATATCACACAAGGGCCCTATTTACAGTTTTTATCAGAGTATTCTATCTTTGTATCTCACAAATAGCCAGTGTTTTAATTATGAGGATTAAAATTTATGTTGATGACAAATCGGAGCCATCCAGTGAAGCTTTCCTAAATCTCATCGACTTTAATGGTTTTACACAGCAAATTTATACTCACCTCAATGGCCACACACTTCACCCAGTGGTCTTTCTTTCTCAGATCTAGCTATCTAAACACATCTACCTCCCCTCCAGATCACCAGAGGAGACACATTCGTTACTAAAGTACATTCTCATGTAAAAAAGTACTGATTCAACTTCTTTGCTCAAGTAAAAGTGAAAAGGCACAGGCTCTTAACTGCACTGAAAGTGTAGAAGTAAAAAGTACTCTCTTGGTTTCTCTGAAGGACATTTCTGTCGGCTGCTTCTGTGCAAATCTGACACTTCAAATTGGGTCGAGCCTCCTTCTCCTGTCTGTTTCATCCTGTTACGCCTGTCATACGTGATATTTACTGGTCTTGATGTTGGGAATATGTGCAATGATGCAAAATCTATATAAATATATATATTGATAATTCCCCCAAAATGCATTTAACCACAAATAGAGAACCAAGTAAGAAACTCTTTGGCTTGTGTGGTCTAGTAGCCTGCTTGCATATGAACGTGCTCTTTGTGCTGCTAGAACTACTGATTTCTCTGATCTGATACAAAATTGAAAAAATAACCCAACTGTCACTAACTCAATTGTAAACTGCCCCCTATACATAGCATCTCCCTTACTGCAACTGATTTTATAGCACTCTTCACTACTAAAGTTGAAGAAATGAGAAAAACAGTATTACACCTTCTTTCTGCAAGCTCATCCACTTTGAGATAATCTCCCTTGAAACACTACTTGATTCTATTCCTG